TGGTAGGTGGGGTTACTGCCCAGGCACGGAGACACAGGACCCCAGGCGGGGACTCGCTGTTCCTGTATAGAAAGGTGCCGTCCACCCTTCCTTGAGCAGCGAGGTCTCCCAGTCCTGCTTGCTCAGAGGGCGGAGGTAACAGGGCAGATTCACAGAGAGCCTTGTCCTATCTGAGGTGATGTGAGGACAGGAAAGCCAGTCCTAATATTTTAGTTATATATTCTACATGTAGAGGATTCTAAAGATGAATAGATTTGCGAAGAAATTTTATACTGGGGATGAGAAGATGGTATAATGGTTACGTCACCAAACTCCTATGTGTCAACCGTGGTTCAAGTCCCAGACCCAGTAGTTTAAAACTTATGCCGGGCTTGTGTATGTGCGTGCCCTGCATCCAGAGAGGAAAATGGAGAGGAAGGAATTTCAGAGTGGCTATCCCCTGGGGTTGATTTCTCAGTTTTTGTCTTTCTCTGTCTCCCCAGCAAGCATACATGCCCAATGGCAAAAATAACTGATAAAAAAACTAAACTAAACTAAACTAAAACTTATACTCTGTTTATTGTTGCTATAAATACTTCTGATAGTACTTTGAGAATTATTTCTGTTTAATTTTAGTTATTTTTCAGTCTGTTATAGGACACATGGACCCTCCCAAAAAAGAAAGAGAAATAGAGAGAAAATGAGAAAAAAGCCACCATATATGGGACTCAAGCTGCAGTCTGCCGTGGGGGAGTCCAGTGCCTTAACCACCATTCTACTTGCTAGCCCCTTGGAAACTATGTATTTGGGATCAAACAGTGGCACAGTAGTAGAACACGATGCTCTGCAAGGCTGCTCTGCAGGAGAAGATTCCTGAATGAGTCTGAGAGAGATCTCTCTGAGTGTGCAGGGCTCGTACATGCCCACAAGTGGAGCTGGGTGAAGCCGGGAGTGGATCGTGGCATCAAGAGCTTGTTGGGGTGCTCTCTTTCTCTTTTTTCCTCACTCATGGAATAAATCAACTTTTTTTTTAAGAGAGATTTTTGCTATAGGTTGTGCTTGCTTAAGAGACAGAGAGAAGGAAGTGAGAATTCACTCCCCAAAGGAGTAATTCACACCTGGTGTGAAGTTCAGGCCTCCAGATCTGGTCCCACACCAGACAGAGACTAAAAGTGAGAAATAACCCCCCAGGGAGGATGACCATGCCACAATCCCTTATCCTCCATTCTCCTCTTGGAATCTTGGGTACACACACAAACACAGACATCCAGCGTGAATTTAAAGTTGCTGGGTCTGGGACTCGAACCACAGTCGACTACATGGGAGTCCAGTGACATAACCATTACACCATCTGCTGTTCCTCCCAGCAATGTAATCTTTATGCAATCTCTGGTCCCAAGTAAACTTTTAAGAAACGATGGAAACAGCAGATGACATAATGGCTACTTCGCTGGATGCCTGCATGGTTGACTATGGTCCAAGTCCCAGAGCCAGAGGCTTGAAACTCATACCAGATACATATGCATATGTGACAAAAATCCCAAGAGGAGAAAGGAGGAGAAGGGATTGCAGTTGGGTTATCCCCCTTGGGGGTGATTTCTTGCTTTTTGTCTCGGCAGCTTGACAAACACGCCAAATGCATGTGCATGTCTGTCCAAAATCCTGAGAGGAGAATGGAGGAGATGGGATTGTAGTGTGGTCATCCCCCAGGTGGATGATTTCTCACTTTCCCTTTCTCTCTCCAGTAACTGCACAAATTCTATAGCAAAACAAAACAAACAAAAAACAAACCCATGCGTGTATATTTCTTTTTTCCCAGAATAAAGTATACAATTTCTTACATTAGTACTACTAGAAATTAAGACTTTTTTTATAAGAATTATTTATTTTATTTTACTTATTTATTCATTTTATTTTAATTTGACCAGAGAGAAACACACCCAGAGAGAGAGAGAGAGAGGGAAAGCGAGAAAGCAAGCCACCAGGTCCAGGACTCGAACCGTGGTTGGCTATATGGGAGTGTCCAGTACCTTAACCACCATGCCACCTGCTGGTCCCCAAGACTTTTTCTTATAGGAAAAAGATACATGTAGCATCAAGAATAAAATGAGGGCCAGCAGGTGTCATGGTGGTTAAGGTGGTTACCTCCTACCTGTGACTGCATGGTTTGAGTCCTGGGCCTAGTGACTTGAAAAGCACATCAGGAGTGTGTGTATGTGTGTGTGTGTGTGTGTGTCCAAAATCCCAGAAGGAGAATGGAAGAGAAGGGATTGTGGCATAGCCATCCCCCCTATCTCCCGAGTGTGTGTGTGAGTGTGTGTGTGAGTGTGTGTGTGTGTGTGCCCAGAATCCTGAGAAGAGAATGGAGAAGGGATTGCTATATGCCCATGCCTCCTGGGGGTTCTTTTCTTATTTTCTCTCTTTCTCTGTCTCTCTCTGGCAAGCATATTTTATAGCAAATTTTTTAATTAAATGAAAATTGGGATTAACTAACATATTTCTTTAAAAAATGCATATTTTCTAGTTCTGTCCACTAAAACAGCCTGAAGAAATGAAACCAAATACCAATGCATATGTTAGTAATAAAATTATGATCTCTACATGCTGTTCCCATTAAAGGAAGCAGCACCTTTGGAGGAGTGGCCGATGTCGTCTGTAGCAGGCAAAGAACAAAATGACCCTGAGACACCGTCCTGTGCAAGATTTCAAAAAAGTTGAGCAAGACACATGCAGGCATGACAAAGGAACACAGGAGCCAGCATGGAGGGTCACACGACCAAAAATGAGAAAATTTAAGCATCGAAATAATAGTTATTCCAAATTATTGAAATGCTTTAAATATATAATAACTCATGAATTTATTAAAGATATTTACAATAGAAACAAAAAGAGTAAACGCAAGACACTGCCCTCAGAAGACAAAGACAAAAGGAGAATGGAAAGGGGGTTGATGTATGCATGATGGGATATCTAGGATTTGCTTTAAATACTTGAACAACTGGGACCAGAGAGTGTGGTGGATGAGGCACTGGATTCCCACATGGCCAACTGTGGTTCAAGTCCCAGACCTGGCAGCTTGAAAATCATGCTGAGCACGTGTGTGTGTGGCCAAAATCCCAGGAGGAGAAGGGATTGTGGTATGGCCATCCCCCTCGGGAATTGTTTTATCACTTTCCCTCTGATAGTCTCTTTCTGATGAGCACATGCATCGGTGAAAAAAAATTTATAAATAAGTAAATAAATACTCAAACTAGAAGAAAGAAATGGGAATCAGGGGGTGGTGTGGTGGTAGCACAACCAGATCCACATAGGGAGGTTCCCTTCAACATTTTGGGCCTTGCCCAACCCCATGGTCTGAGCTGCTGAGGTTGGGGATGGATTGTGGCATGTGGACTCTGTTGAGGATACCTGTCACTCCATATTCTCCTCTCCCCCCATTGAAGAAATAAGTAAAATGGAAGTGAAAATAGTGATAGCTCTTGAATCTGGCTGGCAGCACCTTGAGCGTTTATGTACCATTATCTCAACTTTAGCACCTGGATGAAAACTTGCAAGATGTCCTATGTTTGACTGGTTCCCGTGTATTGTTAGCCATTGAGAAAGAGCTACTGACTTTATAAGAAAACCCTTAGTTCTCACATGTAGGGGAAGTAGAAATGAGAAAGAAAATATGCATAACAGACTTCACTGTCCTACCCAGAGTCTCCTTCCTAGACATTTGGAATTGAGAGAAAAACAGGATGTGAAGACAGAGAGAGAAGTAGAGAATGGTGGTGAGTCTCTAAATGAGGTTGGCCCTGTGACAGCTGTGCTCTGGTGACAGTGTTCTATTAGCAGTATTCTATTAGCCAGCTGATCCAAAAAAAGAAAAATGAATCAGACACAGAAATAGAGTCAAGGGCCAGCTGATGGCATGGTGGTTAGGTTATATGGATCCTACGTGGGAAACTGGATAGTTTGAGTCTGAACCTATTAGATTGAAAACCATGCCAGGCACATGTGTGTGTGTGTGTGCATGCCCAAAATGCGAAGAGGAATATAAAAGAAACGGGAGTATGGTCTGGCCATCCCCACCCCACCATCCTAGGGGTGATTTCTCTTCCTTTCTCTCTTTCTGTTCTGCCACTGCACCATCCCTATCAAAAATTTTAAAAAAAAGAAAGAAAGGACAACCAATAAAAAAATCAATGTCCTACTTGGCTTCCCCTTTGTTTTCATTTTCTGGATCTAGTGCTTTCTGAATCCTGGCTACACTGTTGCCCTTGGACTCTTCATTCTTGTAAAACCACATCCCCGCCCCCATCACACCAGCATCACAAGTTAGTTTATGTTGTTTTTTGTTCCTTCCTACCAGCGATATTTTGTAATTCCAGCCTTATGTAGCAGAGTCTATTGTCATGTACAAAGAAGAATCAAGTCCAACATGAATTGCACAGTCCAGTGGGTCAGGAGTTGTGTACACACTAGACAGTGCTGGTCTAGCCAGGCTAAGCAAGGTCCCCAGACAGTGCTGGCAGGATCTTGCTGCTGAGACTTGCACTGCACTGGGTTACACAGTGCATTGTTCGGAGACCAGATAGAACGTGCTACTTATCTCCTCTCACTCACTTACAGGGAGCGGCATTTGGGGGCTTCACTCTTTTCATTCAGCTTTGTAAACTATTCAGGTTACAGGGTCATGGTAAAACTAAGCAAGGTCCCCAGACAGTGCTGGCAGGATCTTGCTGCTGAGACTTGCACTGCACTGGGTTACACAGTGCATTGTTCGGAGACCAGATAGAACGTGCTACTTATCTCCTCTCACTCACTTACAGGGAGCGGCATTTGGGGGCTTCACTCTTTTCATTCAGCTTTGTAAACTATTCAGGTTACAGGGTCATGGTAAAAGGGGGACTTACTTTTTTTTTTTTTTTTTTTTTTTTTTAAAAAAAACCTAACCAATATATCAAAACTGTTTGTTAAGCATACTAAGTCCTTTGTAAGTGAGATCTCAATATTTCTGAACTGTGTACGACTTTAAGAACAAAAGCTGATGCAAGTGTCAGAGCCGATTAAAGACAGTAACGTGTGCTGGCTCCGTGGTGCTGTGGAGATGCTCTGCTCAAGCAAAGCTGAAGCCAAAAGGAAGAGTGCAGGTTCCATTCCCCAGCTGACCTGTACATGTGTGTGTGTGTCCATGATCCTGGCTGGTTGGGAAGGCTGGTTGGGGGCTCTGGTATGAGACCCTTTAAAGGTATTTCCCTCTCTCTCCCTCTGTCTCTCACCCCTATGAAAGAAAGAAAGAAATGTACAAGAAAGTAAAAAGGGAAGTGGTTGGGAGATGTGATCAGCGTGAGGAACCAGCAGAGAGGTTCATCTGCAAACTTGTCCTTGTGCCCTCGTACAAGAACAGGGCTCGCCCCCTCCCTCCACCATCCTGACTCCCGTGATCTGCAAGGGGACCAGGGAGTCCTGCCAGCATGAGGCCACAGCTGCTCCTCCTTCTCCTGCTTCTCCAGTCCCAGGAAGGTGAGTCAGGGGCTCCTTCTCTGCCACCTCACTTTCCAAAGGGTAGGATTTCACACAGCAGCTTCCAAGCGAGGTCTTTCTCAGAATTGAGGACCCCATTTTTGAGATTTGGGACATCAGTCAGAAGACATTGACGGGGCAGCAGGTGGCGTAGTGGTTGAGGTGCTGGAATCCTACTAGGTCAACTGCATTTCGAGAATCCGACTCAGCAGCTTGAAACTCTCATGAGGCACGTGTGTGTGCATGCTCAAAATTCTAAGAGGAAAATGGAAGCGAAAGGATTGCAGTGTGGCCATCCCCTTTGGGAGATGATTTCTCGCTTTCTGTCTCTCTGGCGAGCAACATTTATCTTAAAGAGGTGGAGAAGTTGAAGGACTTTTGAACATAAGAAAGACTGACTAGAGAGTGGAGAAGGGGCATGAGTTAAAAAAAAAAATTCTATGACTAGAGAGTGGAGAAGGGGCATGAGGAAAGAAAAATTCTAAGATACATACAGTAACAACATTGTGAACTTCAGGGCTGAAAGGAATCCAAAGGTTTGGCATTTTATCTCCCCTGTTTTATTAAGGAAGAGAAAAGGCTTGAAGAAATGGAGATGTTTCCCAAAGCTGCACGTGTAGATAAAGCAGGGTCAGGACTGAGAAACGGGCATCCTGTCTGCGCTCTGTGCCTTAGACCATGTGCCACTGAGGGACCAGGACAGCCATCGCACAGAAAGCCCGGCTCTGGAGGGGAAGTATTTCAGGAAATGGGAAAACCGCAGAGTTGGCATCCAGGACACATGGGGTCAGAGGAGCCAGCGGGGCAGGGCTGTGTTCTGGCTTCCAATGTGGTCTTTCTCGTTTTTATGGCCAGTAGCTTGTAGGGAAACCCACTCCTGGATGAGAAAAGGTGATCCCAGCAGAAAGGATCCTGGAGGGCTGCCTAGAAATCCCAGCAGGAGGAGAGTTGAAGTGCTGCCCACTGCGAGCTCTGGCATAACCTCACTGTTGATGTTCAGTGTCTTTGCGTGCCCCAGCATGGGAGAGCTGTGACTGACGGACAGACTGACAGGGAGCCATCAGGGACAGTTTTATGGCTTTTCCCTTCTGTGTTTATAGGTAACGCAGTTTCACAACCCAGCTCAACCCCAGTGGTGGTGAACGGGGCTCTGGGGAAGTCGGTAACTCTTCCCCTGGAGTTTCCCACAGGAGGGAAGGCCGAGGACATCATAGCCATCACTGTGCTTTACAGCGGAAGATCTATTGCCTTTATAAACCCGAGAGAAGCAGGAAGTCTACATGTGATGGATCCTAAATGGAAAACACGACTGAACTTCATTCATCCTGACTCCGTGCAGCTTAACAACCTGACGCTGGCTGACGCAGGACCTTACAGCGCCCAGATGTCCACAGAAAACTCCACGTGGCTCTCCAGATACACTCTGAGGATTTTCAGTGAGTAAGGGCCTGGAGAACCAGGTCCCTCTGGGTAATGGTGGTGGAACCACCCGTGATCCTGGGGGCTGGATGATCTTTGGTAAGGATGGTCCTCCAGTTTCACTCTTTTGACCAGAACTTTCCTACATAGATTTTTTTAAAAAGAGATTTTGCTATGAGGTGCATGCACTTGTCAGAGAGACAGAACGTGAGAAATCAGCCCGCATGGTTGATGACAACACCACGGTCCCTTCTCCTCCATTCTTCCTCAGGGTTTTGGGCACACATGCACGTGTGGCCAGCATGAGTGTGAAGCCACTGCATCCAGGACTCCAACCGCAGTCAACTGCTCAGGAGTCCAGAAATGTACCCATTATGCTATTGGTTGGTCCTGATCTTCATTTTTTTAGTTTCTTTTCCTTTTATGTCCTTCAGTCACCAGCAGAGTCTGGCTGGTGGCTGTGGTTGCAGCTGGTTGAAAACACCCGCAGCCTGTCCTTTTCTCCACTTCTCCCCTCAGGAGCAGGAAATAGAATAACCAGCATCCCTCCTCTGAAGGGTCTGGGTTACTCAGAGTTCTCTCCTCTTGATCACCTGAGTCCTCTCCTGACATGGTCTAGAAAGGTCTTTTATTACTATTTGTATTTTTTTTTTGAGAGTTTTTTGCTATAGGGCATGTGTGCTTGCCAGAAAGACAGACAAGAGACAGAGAGACAGAAAGCGAGAAATCAGCCACAGTGTGTGATAATCACATCAAGGATATTATCATATGCGTCATTTTCAGCAAAGGACTGGACCTTCTTGTGTCTGTTAGGTGCCTTTAGGCTGAGCCTCTCCTGACCACAGTCCACTCCCCTCCCCTAGTCTCAGGCCTCTACGCTTGTCCTTCCTGCTTGTCCTTCCTACTGCTACGTCTTAGACTCTTTCCACTTCGGCCATCAAGTGCAGACGTTCAGTACAGATTGATCTACTGAGCAAAGACATCCTGTGTTTGTCTTTCTTTCTTTTTTTTTTTTTGGAGAGGTTTTTGCTATAAAGTGTGTGCACTCACCAGAAAGACAGAAAGTGAGAAATCACCCCCCAGCGGGGATGGCCAAGCCGCAATCCCTTCTCTTCCATTCTCCTCTCGGGATCTTGGGCACACATGTACATGCACTGACGTGAGTTTAAGCCACCGGGTCCGGGACTCGAACCGGGGTTTGCTACAAGGGGAGTTCAGTGACATAGCCAGTATGCTAACTGCTGATCCCTTACTATTTGTATCTTTTGAAACTGTTGCTGCAACAGGGCAGCTGAGAAGACCTCAGGTTAGAGTGGATTCTGTCATCTCTGAGAATGGGTCCTGCATTGCCACCCTGAGGTGTTCTGTGGAGGACGCAGACCATGTCACGTATCAGTGGACGCCAATGGGACCACGGGCTGTCGTGTCCCAGGAAGGGTCTGTCCTCAGTGACGCCTGGAGTCTTCATGACCTGGATAGGATCTACACCTGCATGGCTCAGAATCCTGTGAGCAGTTACAGCTCCACTCCACTCCCTGTTGGGCAGCTTTGTACAGGTAACTGGCCCCCTCTGGTCTCTCATGCACCCCTAGGAGCCGAGGACAGGATAAGGCAACCCTTGGCACCTGCCAGCAGCTGTCATTCCAGTTACACACGTGCTCTGTCTGCGCTCACTCTACTTTCTGTTTTTCAGGTTCCAAGGCAGCTGAAGCCACCTACTGTCCAGTGACATGGATTTTCCTGGGGAAAGGGCTTCTTCTCCTTGTGTTCCTAGGGGTTCTAGGAACTTGGCACATCCAGACACGGATGCTCAGCATGAAAAGAGACAAGTAATGGCCCAGGAAAGACAGGTTGTGCCAAGATGAGGTTATTTATTTTGGGGGCTCAATGAAATGACCTGTACTCTGTTCAAACTGTAGTACTATGGACTGTCAAAGGCCACTGGGGGATATGGGGAGGGGGCAGCCAGTGGCATGATGGTTAACATGACTGGATCCCATATGGTTGTCTACACAGTTCAAGTCCTGGACTGAGTGGCTTGTGAAAAATGTCACATATGTGTGCATGCCTCCCCTAAATCCCGAAAAGCAGGAGACATGGAGGAGAAGGGATCACAGTACGACCATCGTCCATGGGCAGTGCTCTCTCATTTTCCGTCTATCTTTCTCTCTCCTTTGTTCTATGTTTAAAAAAGAGTAAGAACAAAGAGGTCACTGGGATAAAATTTAATACTTTGTCATATATGAGTCATTGTGCATGCACATTTTATGAGAATGCGAAAGTCTGACTGAGAGGAGACAAATTAACTATAGGATACCCCCAACCTGGCAGCACCCTCAGCTACAGGGCTGGAAGCCACAAGGCCAGCCAAGAGTTTGGGCACCTGGGAGATCTGAAAACATCCTGGATGCATGTATGCATGCCCAAGGTCTTGATAAGCCAGAGGGCTTGGAAAAGATGACTGTGGTGAGATGAGACCTGGCAAAGGTCTCTCTCTCTCTCTTTTTCTCTCTCTCTCTCCTGCGTGCATACACTTGCTCTTTTTCATGAAGAAAATAAATAAACTTTGAAAACTGTATGCATGCCATGTAGTATCTAAGAATATTTTTCTCCATAATTTAAGGCATCTGAAATCAAGGTAGGTCATAATATCATTGTGTACAGCTAAAAGGGGTTATGTATTCTTTTCCTGAAATAACATTATTAAAATGGTACTGCTTTTAAAAGTCAATAGTGTCTTCTGTTGGTGAGAATATAAATTAGTGCAATCATTTTGGAAAGCGGAATGAAGGTCCTTGAAAAAATGAAAAATAAAATTGCGATATGTTCCTGTAACCTCCGTTCTGGGTGTATATCCAGAAGGACTGAG